CAAGGATGGCAAAGCTTTGTCTCTCATACTTTGGACATGTTGTTATGAGAAGTTATTTCTTGGAAAAGGATATCACGCTTGGAAGAGTGGAGGGTCAGCAAAAGAGAGGACCCCATCACAGTGGATTGGCATGGTGACAGCAGCAATGGGCTCCAGTGTATCAGAGATGGTGAGGATGGCACAGGATAGAACAGAATTCAGATCTGTTCACAGGGTCTCTGTGAGTCATACTGGACTCAACAGCACCTAACAACAACCCTTCCCAGACCCCCTGAGTTCTAGGTTCCATTTATACCGCAACCAAAGGGAAGCAAGTTCTTCCAGCAACAGGCTCATTTGCATCAGCCTGGGTCACATGCTCATCCTGAGCCAATCCCTGGATAGGAAGAAGAGGCTGCCTGGCCTGGCTTTGGTGGGTATATGGAGGGCAGCCCTCCTGGACTTAGGGAAAGTGTCATTCCCATGTTTTGTAAGCAGGAAGGGTCAAGTTGGTCCCACACCCAGAACTTCCTGTAATGCAAACAGAATCTGTCAGGCACTGGCATCAGCCTTCACTCTCCCTCAGAAGCTAGAAGCCAGGGCTCCTCTCAGGAGTCAGGGTCAAGGCTGTCAGCCCAGGATGTCTGCTTACTGTCAGACGAGGAATTATAAGGCTGCAGGCTTTTTTAACATCATGGGAGGAAAGACAGACACCACTTTCTCCCTCCTCTCTCCCAGTGGTCTGGGCTACTGCCTTCCCAAAGCACAAGACCCAGGCTAACGGTCCATCCAGCAGCAGGCCCTGCATCCCACAGACAGGATCTCTCCCTTTGTAGCGAGGGGCGACGTGCTGCCCATCTGTAGCTCGGTGCCCATCAGAACCCTGCAAACACCACCAGCCTGTTGCTGTACAGTCAGTCCTCCCTCGGGCCTTCTTAACCGTAATCTCTGAGAAGCAGATCATCTATCTGGCTTTTCTTCAGCAGGACTGCTGAGGGAGCTCAGGTGCCAACCTTTAGTGGTTTAGTGATGGAGTCCACACCACTTGTATCACCCAGGGGACATTAAACCCTCAGACACGGAGACTTGTAGAGACACTACAGGCTCACTCACCCCACCCCCACCCCATACCACCTGTCGTGCCACTTCCTTTGCTGGGGGTGCTCTGGGTCTACAAATCTCCCCAGTGTGGGCAGGATCAGCATATGCTCCTGCTTCTCAACAGGTGGTAACCAGAACAGCAGCATCAACATGACGAAGGGGAACTTTCCAGAAAAGCAGATTTTTGCCCTATCTCAAAAGGCCTAAGTGGGGCCTGCAATCTGGTTCCAAAAAGGTCTCCAGGTGGTTCTGAGCTGCTCAAGCGTGAGGAGGTGACACTTATATCCCGGATGGACCGTTCCTCACTTGGGAGAAGAAAGCTGTCAACTCTGGGCAGGGCTGAGCATGGTGGCAGCAACTTTGGCAAAATGATGCTCATAGCTGTGAGCTGAGGAGATAAAAGACTGAAGGGTGCCTTAGGGATCAGTCTTCCAAGGCTCGGGGCAAAAAGGCGAAACAGCAGGGGCCACAGGCACCCATGAATAAGATGCTAAACAGAGTTGAATGTCCTCCAAATGCAGAGCGGCATTTCAGACTCTCACAGAATCCAGACTTTCTGGAGCTACAGATGCTGGAGGAATGCCTGAAACTACTGTACTGATGTAATCTGCAAATTTTAAAACTATGCTCTCACATTTTCTTAAAGCTGAAGACTAGTTTATAAGTGATATAGATTTTTAAGAACTATCTGTATGGGATTAAAGAGAAACAGCAACTCAAGGGATTAGATGAGAACTTCAGGGGTTGGCGAGTCCATGGAGTTGAGTAAGGAGGTGCTCGGAAAAGGAGAGTGGGAATGGGGCACAGCTCTGAGATTTGTCACCAGTGTCACGGAACTGGACATGTACAAACTATTATTGGCTTGGTGTATGGGCTGCTCTATGTATACTCACACACTAAAGATATTTTTTAA